AGCCCAGCCCCCCTCTTCCCCTCCCGCACGGCGCACTTGTGCTCGTGGCAGGAGGTGTGGTTCGGTTGCGGCGCGGAGCGAAAGGTGGTCGTTGATGGGGTGCGCATCGCCGCCTGTAATAGCTTGCGAACGGGTCCGTGGTGGGTGCGCGATCCCGTCCTCCGCGCTGCGCGGCAGGGTGTGCCGGAGGCGACGAGGACGACATCAGGCCCAAAAACACAAAGGTCTCGACAACGAGAATAGCAAAAAAAAAAAAAAACAAAGCAAAAAACTAGACTGACCACCAGGAAAAAAGTTGCGCGACGTAACGGTGGTGACACGCGTGGACGGAGAACCGTCGTTGGTTTTCTCTGTCGCGCAGCCGGAAGGCTGTGCCGAGCCGCGATTGCGCGTCTTGTCACATGTGTCTTTTGGCCCGAGGAATGCGATTGAGGTTTGTTTTTTTTTTTTCATGTAATTTTATTTCATGTTTATGTTTTTTTTTTGTTGCATTTTTTTTTTTTTTTTTATGCTTGCGACAAGTGCCGACGGCTCCTCTGTTTATGGGTTGTCACACTGCGGGAGGGCCGGGGCATAGTTGGGGGTTCCATTCCGCGGTCTAAGCAGGCGGAGGCCCTTTTTTTTTTTCCATCATGTGTGCACCTGCACCCCTGGATGTTGTTGTTTTTTTTTGCACCGCCGATGTTCCCCGCCCCCTTCCCCCCCCCGGGCCCCCTTCTATCTCTCTATCTTTCTGCGGAAAGGTCCCGTGCCGCAACCGGATGTTTTTTTTTTTTTGGGAGGCGCGGTGCTGCAACGGTGCGTTGTGTTTTTTTTTTTTCCCTTGTTCCCCTTCCCTGCCCACCTTGAGGCCTGTTGTGCCACTGGTGCCGTTTTGTTTGGGTTGTTTACCGCAGGTATCTTTTTGTACAAGGCCTGCACTTGCTTTGCCTAGGCAGTGCCTCTGTTTTTTTTTTTTTGCGTACCGGTACTTACTTCTCTTCACACCACTTTTACCTCATTCTTGTTGACGCTCCTTGGGTTTTTTCGTGGTCTTCATCTACACCGACCCCGTGTTCACCATCTCCTTAGTCATTCGTGTTGCCATCCTCACGGCCTGTGCTTGTCCTCTTCCCTCGATCTATTGACGTTCTTCGAGGCTTTGAAGGTCTGTGAGAGGCCGAACACGCAGAGAGAGAGAGAGAGAGAGAGAGAGAGAGAGAGAGAGAGAGAGAGAGAGAGAGAGAGAAGGGTTTGCTCATCGTTTTGGAGACAGAGAGTGATTG